AGACTGCAGACACAGTACAGGAGATGACCAGAGACTGCGGACACAATACAGGAGATGACCAGAGACTGCGGACACAATACAGGAGATGACCAGAGACTGCGGACACAGTACAGGAGATGACCAGAGACTGCGGACACAGTACAGGAGATGACCAGAGACTGCGGACACAGTACAGGAGATGACCAGAGACTGCGGACACAGTACAGGAGATGACCAGAGACTGCGTAGTACTACAGGAGATGACCAGAGACTGCGGACACAGTACAGGAGATGACAAGAGACTGCGGACACAGTACAGGAGATGACAAGAGACTGCGGACAGTATAGGGGGATGACCAAGAGACTGCGGACAGTATAGGGAAAGACCAAGTGACTGCAGACATAGTACAGGGGATGACCAGAGACTGTGGACAGTACAGGAGATGACCAAGAGACTGTGGACAGTACAGGGGATGACCAGAGACTGCGGACAGTACAGGGGATGACCAGAGACTGCGGACAGTACAGGGGATGACCAGAGACTGCGGACAGTACAGGGGATGACCAGAGACTGCGGACAGTACAGGGGATGACCAGAGACTGCGGACAGTACAGGGGATGACCAGAGACTGCGGACAGTACAGGGGATGACCAGAGACTGCGGACAGTACAGGGGATGACCAGAGACTGCGGACAGTACAGGGGATGACCAGAGACTGCGGACAGTACAGGGGATGACCAGAGACTGCGGACAGTACAGGGGATGACCAGAGACTGCGGACAGTACAGGGGATGACCAAGAGACTGCGGACAGTACAGGGGATGATCAGAGACTACGGACAGTACAGGGGATGACCAAGAGACTGCAAACAGTACAGGGGATGACCAGAGACTGCGGACACTGTGCAGGAAATGACCAGACACTGAGGACAGTGCAGACGGATGACCAGAGACTGCAGACAGTACAGGGGATGACTTAAGAGAATGTGGACCTTTGGGGAGGGAGGGGGAGCGGGTACCTGAATTTGACAGGTACCCACTCCCACTTCCGCAGAGTTGTCGTCCCTTTAGTGTGGGCACCCGGCTACAGCTGAGTGCCCAGTGCGCATGCGCGAGAAGCGCTTTGTGATTGCTCCGGCGTCTTCTGTGATCTGTCATGTGTCCCAGAAGACACCGTACTATTCACAAAGCGCAGCGCTTCTCGCGCATGCGCACTGGGCACCCGGCTGTCACAGCCGAGAGCCCACTCTAAAGATGCTGACGCGGGAAGCCTTCGCAACGCTGGACAGATGAACAGGTAAGGTCCTGCTGCAGACAAGAAACAAGCGGCCGGTCCGGTATTCTGATGCGGCGGCAGTGGGAATACCGGACCATATTCGCTCCATAAGATGCACTGACATTTCCCCCCCTTTTTTGGGGGGAAAAAGTGCGTCTTATGGAGTGAAAAATACGGTATCTGAAAATTGATCAATCCTACTGACAGCTAATCTAATTTCTTGAGGTCCAAGAATGTCAGAACAGTACAGATATCCCCCAAATTATCCCTTTTTGCAAAGTAAACAATCTGCCGTATTTCATAACAGGCATGGTGAGTTTTTTAAAGTTGTAATTTTTTTGTCATAATTTTTCGGAAAATGAAGAAATTAAAAAAAATTATTTTCACTTTTTTTTTTTTTTTTTTTTTACATACTGTCACCTGTGCAGTACAGCATCATCATATAACTGGCATAACGGTGATCAGGGACACTGACTGGTGACAGTACGAAAAAAAAAATTGATTTTTTTTAAATTTTTCTAAAATTTTTATTAGTTTTTATTACTTTTTTTAAGATTTTTTTTTCATATTTCACTATGACCAAAGTAGTATAATGTTACCATAGTAACATTGTACTACTTTGGGGAAGTGATCAGTTTTTTTTTCTTTTTTTTTTGCTATAAGCAAACATTTACCTGAATAAAATCGATTCAGGGTTTTTTTTTTTTTTTGTGATGAGGTGTGATTTGGCTAAGGCTAATCACATGACACAGCTGGGCTGTGATTGGCCCAGCTTGTGCATGTGATCGCTGTGACCATTCACAGCTAGACACACTGGTACACACTGGTATACAATGGATGGCATGAAAGGAAGCCATCCATTGAATACAACTGTCATGTGACCTGCTGTGATTGGTCACAGCAAGTCACATGGTACTGGCAACGGGGCCAGTACACAAATCTGTCATCGGCTGTGTCTGAGGTACACGGCCAATGACAGATTGCGCCGCTTTTGGCGTTCACCCGGGGGGACGAGGTGTTCGCCCGGCCACCATCTGGCTATAGGCCGGGCGGCAACTAGTTAAAAATACAGTTCTACATTTTTGGAATGCATTTACAAATATATGTAAGAATATATGTTAAAATAACTTTTTTATATGTTAAATAAAATCTGAAGACTATATTTAAAAAAAATATATTTTTAAAAATATATTTTTTTAAAATCTATTCTTCAGATTTTTTTTAACATATAAAAAATGTATTTTAACATATATTTGTAAATGCATTCCAAAAATGTAGATTTGTATTTTTAAAGACATACAGTATATTTGAAATGTATTTTTAAAAATATTTTTCGCATTTTTTTGTAATAAAAACGCATTTCAACATGCAGTATATATATTTATTGAAATACCGTATTTTCCGGCGTATAAGACGACTGGGCGTATAAGACGACCCCCTACTTTTCCTGTTAAAATATGGGGTTTGAGCTATACTCGCCGTATAAGACTACCCCTCTTCCAACGCACACCAAATAAAAATGAAAAAACATCAGATTTGATTTCAATATGGTATTCCAATGATGGGGTGCTATTCCTCCCACTGACACCAATGATGAGGCACTACTCCTCCCACTGACACCAATGATGGGGCACTATTTCATCCACTGACACCAATGATGGGGCACTATTCCTCCCACTGATACCAATGATGGGACACTATTCCTCCCACTGATACCAATGATGGTGCCCCATCATTAGTGTCAGTGTGTGAGGAATAGTGCCCCATCATTAGTCAGTGGGAGGAATAGTGCCCCATCATTAGTCAGTGGGAGGAATAGTGCCCCATCATTGGTGTCAGTGGGAAGAATCGTGTCCCATCATTAGTGTCAGTGGGAGGAATAGTGTCCCATCATTGGTGTCAGTGGGAGGAATAGTGTCCCATCATTGGTGTCAGTGGGAGGAATAGTGCCCCATCATTGGTGTCAGTGGGAGGAATAGTGCTCCATCATTGGTGTCAGTGGGAGGAATAGTGCTCCATCATTGGTGTCAGTGGGAGGAATAGTGCCCCATCATTGGTGTCAGTGGGAGGAATAGTGCCCCATCATTGGTGTCAGTGGGAGGAATAGTGCCCCATCATTGGTGTTAGTGGGAGGGATAGTGCTCCATCATTAGTGTCAGTGGGAGGAATAGTGTCCCATCATTGGTGTCAGTGGGAGGAATAGTGTCCCATCATTGGTGTCAGTGGGAGGAATAGTGTCCCATCATTGGTGGGTCAGTGGGAGGAATAGTGTCCCATCATTGGTGTCAGTAGGAGGAATAGTGCACCATCATTGGTATTAGTGGGAGGAATAGTGTCCTATCATTGGTGTCAGTGGGGAGAATAGTGCTCCATCATTGGTGTCAGTGGGAGGAATAGTGCCCCATCATTGGTGTCAGTGGGGAGGAGGAATAGTGCCCCATCATTGGTGTCAGTGGGGAGGAGGAATAGTGCCCCATCATTGGTATCAGTGGGGAGAACAGTGCCTCATCGTTGGTGTCAGTGGGGGAGGAACAGTGCCTCATCGTTGGTGTCAGTGGGGGAGGAACAGTGCCTCATCGTTGGTGTCAGTGGGGGAGGAACAGTGCCCATCGTTGGTGTCAGTGGGGGAGGAACGTTGGTGTCAGTGGGGGAGGAACAGTGCCTCATCGTTGGTGTCAGTGGGGGAGGAACAGTGCCCCATCGTTGGTGTCAGTGTGGAGGAGGAATAGTGCCCCATCGTTAGTGTCAGTGGGGGAGAGGAGCGGCTGCTCCTTCTTCCAGTGCGGCCGCTCGATTTTCGCGGGGCCGCTCGTCTCCGCCTCCTCGCCGGTGATTGGTCGCCTGTGTGCCTTTCCAGTGCTGGCGCCCAATCACCGGTGAGGAGGCGGAGCCGAGCGGCCGTGACCATGAGCGGCCGAACTGAAAGAAGGAGCAGCCGCGCTTCCTGGACCGGATCGTCGTGGGACCGGAGCCAGGTAAGGTACAGCAGCCCCTCTGCCCACCCCTGTACTTGGTGTCCGTTGGAGGAGGAGGGGGGGGGGCGGCGGAACTTGCGGGTGGCACTGCTGGGCACCGATCATCAGGGCACTGATCATCAGTGCCCTGATGATCGGTGCCGATCCCCGCTCTGACAACTGCCAGTTCTCGGCAGTACTTTCCTCACGATCTGACAGCGTGAGGAAAGTGCAGCCGAGAACCGACACTTGCATTTCCCTCTGATCAGCGTCATTGGACACCACTGATCACGTGGTAAAAGGCCGCTGTGATTGGCCTTTTACCACATCACGTGATCAGCTGTGTCCGTAGGACACAGCGATCACGGAGATCGCCGGGTGCGCGCCCCAGGAGAGCACGTTCTGGGAGGTTGTCATATGACGTCCACCCAGAACTGGCCGGCCGCAGTGCAGCCGTCATTCGGCTATCTGCGGTCGGCAGGTAGTTAACCACCTGCCGCCCGCCATATAGTACAATGACGGGCACAAGGTGGTTCTCTCGTTCTGGGACAACGTCATATGACGTCGTCCCATTCTAACTGCTCATGCGCAGGTCCGGAAGTGCGCAGCATGGCGATCAGCAGTAAATAGGGAAATGCCGGTTATCGGCATTTCTCTCCTCACGAGCTGTCACGTTGACAGCTCGAGAGGAGAGCCGGTAATCGGCTTCCCTCAGAGGGGACATCTACACTGATCATCAGGGCACTGATGATCAGTGTGCCCTGATGATCAGTGTAGCCCCAGCAGTGCCACCTGTCAGTGTCCATCAGTGCCAGCTGTCAGTGCTCATCCATGCTACCTGCCAGTGCCCATCAGTGCCACATCAATGCCACATATCAGTGCCTACCAGTGCACATCAATGCCACATATCAGTGCCCATCTGAGCTGCCTTTCAGTGCCACCCATCAGTGCCAGTCAGTGACACCTATCAATGCAAGTCAGTGCCACCTATCAGTGCTGCCAATCAGTGCCACCTATCAGTGTCAGTCAGTGCCGCCTATCAGTGTGCATCATTGTTGCCTATCAGTGCCCGTCAATGCTGCCTATCAGAACCGCCTAGCAGTGCCAGTCAGTGCCGCCTATCAGTGCCATATATGAGTGCTGCCTTTCAGTGCCCATCAGTGATGCCTGTCAATGCCCATCAGTGCCACCTACCAGTGCCTTCTCATCAGTGCCACCTATCAGTGTCCATCAGTGCAGCCTATCAGTGCCCATCTCTGCAGCCTCATTAGCGCACATCAGTAAATGAGAAAAATCACTTATTTACAAAATTGTGTAACAAAAACTAAGAAAAAACTTTTTTTTTTCAAAATTTTCAGTGGTTTTTGGTTTAAGAAAAAATAAAAAACCCAGAGGTGATTACATACCACCAAAATAAAGCTCTGTCTAAAAAAATGATAAAAATTTCATATGGGTACAGTGGTGCATGACTGCGTAATTGTCATTCAAAGTGTGATAGAGCTGAAAGCTGAAAATTGGCCTGGGCAGGAAGGGGGTATAAGTGCCCGGTAGGCAAGTGGTTAAACAGTGCATTGAGGTTGGCTTGTAAGTTGGAGACATCCTGTAAGGACGCCATTCCACTGCAAAGCTTGGTGTCATCTGCAAAGACAAACTGTATTTTTAATCCCAGACTTTATATAGTTTATAAATATATTAAAAAGTAAGGGTCCCAACATTGAACCTTGGGGTACACTACTAACAACCCTAGACCATTCACAGCATGAATCATTAACCACTACTCTCTGAATACGATCTTTTAGCCAGTTTTCCATCCATTTACATACAGATTTTTCAAAGCCTGTAGACTTTACCTTACATATTAGCCGTGTGTGGGGAACTGTGTCAAAGCTTTTGCAAAATCCAAGTATACCACGTCCACCGCCACCCCTCTGTCCAAGGTTTTGCTCACCTCCTCATAAAAAGAAATCAAATTTGTTTAACAACTCCTGTCTTTCATGAATCCATGCTGTCTGTTGCTTAAATATTTTTTTTTCCAGCAAGAACTCATCTATGTGGTCTTTTATTAAACTCTCCAGTATCTTCCCAACTATAGATGTTAAACTAACAGGTCCATAATTACTTGGTAAACATTTTGATTATGGACAAAAGCTCCCCCATGCTCCTTTGTATACACAAAGCTGAAGAAGGTATTTAATAAATTTGCCTTCTCTTTGTCCCGAGTCACTCTAAATTATTTTGTAACAGGCCTACATGCACGGACCAGACCTTTTTACTATTGATATAGTTGAAAGATTTTTGGGGGTTTGTCCTGCTATCTTTTGCAATCTGTCGTTCACGTTTAATTTTTGCGGCCTTGGTTTCCTTTTTACATATTGTTATATTCTTTGTAATGTTCAAACGATGATAGCATTACTTCATTTTTATATTTAATAAAAGCTCTTTTCTTATAATTTATAGTTTTTTTTAACTTTGGCAGTAAGCCACATAGGTTTGATTTTTAGCCTTGTTGCCCACGAGAATATATTTTGCAGTGTGTTCACATACAGTCTTTTTGAAGAACTCTCATTTCTGTGTTGTGTTCATCGATGCCAATATTCCCACCTAGTGTTCATCGATGCCAATATTCCCACCCAGTCTGTCTTGGAGACAGGGGCGGACTGACCATTTGGAAACTAGGGTACTGCCGGAGGGCCCGGGGTCAGTAGGGGGCCCCATGAGATGCCCCTGGTACCTTTTTAATAGACTTTTTTGAGTTTGGGCAAGGACACAGGGGCCCTATGATCCCCTATTGCCCGGGGGCCCCATGAGTTGTCAGTCCGCCCCTGCTTGGAGAGCTACTCTCAGCCTTGGAAAATTAGCGCTCTAAAAGTTGAGCATTTTTATTTTTCCCATATGTGCTTGTTGTTTAAAGCTAACAATAAATGAAATCATGTTATGGTCACTGCTACCCAATGTGCTTTTATATGGACATTCGTAATAAGCTCTGCATGGTTTGAGATTACCAGGTCCAGCAAAGCATCATTCCTAGTTGGGGCCTCTATGAACTGTACCATAAAATTGTCCTGTAGTAGGTTTATACAATTTTGCCCTTTAACTGTTCCTGCAGCACCACTACTCCAGTCAATTTCTGGGTAGTTAAATTCCACTATTATTATCACTGTCCCAGCCCTTGCAGGCCGTTCGATCTATACAAGGAGCCAAGTCTCCACCTCCTCAATAACACTGGGTGGCCTATAACAAACTACAAAATCTTTGTAGTATGCACCCCTATGTGAAGTTCCACCCATAATGCTTCAGCCTCATCACACTCTCCATCAACTAGGTCCTCTTTCACACTCGCTCTGAGATCACTTCTCACAGAGACAGACACCACCACCTTTCGTTTTAACCCGGTCTCTCCAAAAGAGAACATAGCCGGGAATATTAATAGCTCAATTATATGAAGAACGAATCCAAGATTCAGTAATACCAATTAAATCATAGTTCTCTTCATGCACCAAAGCTTCCAACTCACCTATTTTACTTGGCAGATGTCTGGCCTTGGTGAACAAACATTTTAATTCCAATGGTTGTTTGTAACATGGGCACCTTCTTATCACCTGCCACAGCCCTCTCCCCCCCATATTTCCCATTCCTCCCATCAATAAGAACTAACCCCTGTCTGATCTGTCTGTATAATCTAATTCTCCCTCCCCCCTCAATCCTAGTTTAAATACTCCTCCAGCCATCCCAAAAACCTCTCCCCCAGCACAGCAGACCCCCTTCCATTTAGGTGCAAAGCATCTCTAGCATATAGGTTGCACCCCAATGAAAAGTCAGCCCAGTGCTCTAGAAACCCAAATCCTTCCCTCTTACACCAGGTATTTAGTCATGCATTTAGTTCTCTAATCTCCCCCTGTCTGTCTGAGTTGTGCATAGCACAGATAATATTTCAGAGAATATCACCTTGGAGGTCCTTCCCTTCAACTTGCAGCCTAGTTCTTTAAATTGATTCTTAAGGAGCCTCCATCTTCCATGTATTCTGTCATTGGTTCCAACATGGACCAACACAGCTGGGTCATGCACAGCCCCTCCTAGTAATTTATCAACCTGGTCCACCACGTGCCGAACCCTGGCACCGGGGAGACAGCAAACCATTTGAGGCGATCCTGGCAACAAATTATTCTATCAGTCCTTCTGATTATAGAATCCCATATTACCTCCACCTGTCTAGGCCTTCCTGCACTACCATCACCACCCCTCTCAGATGGTCTGCCCTCCCAGCTGTTAGGGATAGCAGTGACATCATGTTTCTGGTTTATTGTTCTCAGATTATTTTCTCTTTTACAAGGGGATCTGGATAGACGCTATTATTTATCAGGTACAACTATGCACCCAATCAGTGATACTTAAAAGTGGACTGTTACTTTGATCTTCCAAGCTTTGACTTTAATATCTTTAGTGAGATTGACCCTGGCTTAGGTCCAGACTATATTTCTATGTGACATAGGGCATGCTCATTAGATGTGGTTGTTGATAATCCTCTTGTGGACCAGATGCTTATTCCTACCCCTAATAGTAGTGTAAATTTACTTGTGAGCCACTGAAGAGTGCATATATGTGTATATATAAACAATATAATATGTTGCAGGCTCCCTTGCTCACCCTCACGTGATGTGCGCCAGAAACAGGAACAGAACATCCCCAGACGAAGCTACGAGTCCCTGTAGCGCAATGTGTTGGGGAGGGGCAGTGACGTCACCACGCATCCGATCCTAGACACGGCGAGTATTGACAGTGTGCGTGAGCACACTACGAGGCTGGTCTCACCGCCATCCGCGGTTATACACATGACAAGCGCAATTGATTTTAATATTATGTGAGTGCATAACCTACGCACAATAAAGTCTTTTATCCCAGATAAGACGCTATATATATATATATATATATATATATATCTCTTTCTTTCCCTTATGATCCATATGAGGAGAACTGGACTAAGGAGTGCTTTGAGGAAGGAGAGATCTGGTTACTCACACAGGCTCACAGTGTAGCTTCTATTATATACCATCTCAGCTATTTAATCATAGGCTGTTCCTGAGGAGAGTATATTGAAACCATTTTCCTGTTGAACTTGCATGGAGTTTGTCTTTGTATTATTACATAAGGGACCCTATTTATATATATATATATATATATATATATATATATATATATATATATATATATATATATATATAGATAGATAGAGGTCACGATTGGAACATTTTATCTCTATGGTTGTGTTTGCATATTTATTTTTGTGAATAGATATCAGTATATTCATTCATTTACTCATCCATTGTTGTATATATTTCAAATCATTTGCACAAATTGTATTTATGCACATTTATGGTGAAAAATTCTAACTTATGTTAGATTAATATATGTTTGGTCTATCATAGTTTTAAACAATTAATAGAGCGCGGCACCCAATTTATTTATTTTTTTGTTCCTTATTCCTACCCCTATTAGGTTGGGCTACATTCCCCCAATGGAGAAATATCATTGAGATAAAGCTCTCAAAGGTTTGGGGGTAGGGTGGGTAAGGATGTTTTTTTTCTCCTTTCTTTATGTTTTTTCACTGTTTTCTGACCAGAGATCGTGTATGTACGACCTTGGCAGCAATCTGTTATATCAGGATCATATACAGTACCAGGATCCTGGTACCATTTTTAGTATTGGTGATGGATTTTCTAGTAAAAGTGATCTGAACAGTTTTATAGCTGCCTGATCACTTTTACAGTGAACGGAAGGCCCCCCTCTTGCCACAGTACTCGAGCTCTCTCATTCCAGCGAGGACTGCTGTAAGTGGTTGGGTTTATTGTATTCAGAGGAGATGGAGGAACATTTGTTCCCTCATCTCCTCTGGGACGAACAAAGCTAGAAGCAACAAGCATTTTGTCACTTCTGGTTTCAGTGCTGCGTTTCCCCCAGCTGGTACAGCCAGGGAAGCATCCGGTCATACACAATCTGTTTTTGATCAGATGCTCTGAAGAGCAGGGTCTAATAGACCTCTGATGTCTCAATAAAAAGTACCTCTCACTGCCCAAAGCTACTATAAGGGACTTGTTTACCCATTGTGATGGCAATAAAGTTGAAAAAAAGTGAATAGAACAATTAAAAATGAAAAGCACTCCTTTCCCCCCTTGCTCACACGCAAACATGCATCTAGGTCCAGCACACATATGTAAATGGTGATTGCACCCCATATATAAGATATGGCCGC